ATAGTTTGGAGCTTTTAGAAATATATGCAGCAAAAAAGTACATTATTTCTACTATCCTATGTGTCTGATCTCTAAGTTTACAAATGTATAGTTAGCATGTGTGTGTCTAGCCTTCAGTGTGAGCACTATTTTTCCAATTTCACAATCAAATTGAGGACCAGTTGTTGCAAAGTGAGGACATTTTGCTGGTCCTCACATGCTATTTTGGTAATGGTTAGGTTTAAGGATAAGGTGTCAATTGGGTTAGGGTTAGGGTGACGTATGTATTGGTAAGGGTTAGGGTATAGAAATGGTTGAAAATGGCTGAAAATCAATAGAAGTCAATAGGAGTCAACACATGGAACAGTGTGTGTGAGTGAGACAGATACACAACCTTACTTGTGGAAGTATTGTGAAAGTGTAATAAATATCGCAGAATAACTACTAGTCGTTGGAAGCTATCTAGAAATTTATTATAAGACAAGTCATAGAATTAGCATTTTCAGGATTTAATATTTCAGAAATTTTTTTTGGAATAACAGGAAAGGCTATATGAAAATATTTCAGACAAAAGATGGACTCGATTACCTCTGACTGATCAAGCAGGTTCTGTATAACTTCTAGGACGCAGTTGTCTTGGATATCTCCATACGTGCCATCATCCTTACAAACGGCTGTTTTGTTTCCCACCATACCCTCTTTACAGGGACCAACAGCAAAAAAACCTTCAGGTCCAGCACTGAATACATCATCACCTTCACAAAGAACTACACAAAAAGAAAAAAAAAGTTTAAGCGGGCTCTAAGGTAACTACCTAATTACAATGAAGTCCCTCCCCTATTTATTCAGATCAATTGTGGCTTTATGGGTAAAGCATTGATTTAACTTGAGATAATGGAAGTGATTTCATAATTTTTACACTCAGAGTCCTGACTAAAATTAGCAAAAGATCTGTGGAGGGAGCTAAAGATGGGGGTTAAAAATTTCCAACATCAAACATTTCAGATGCATTACATAGCTTATTGAAGCAGCATTATAAAATATGACAGAAGCTAATGATAAGGAGGCTTAGATTGCTGTTATGAAAACTATCAACAATATTTCAACCAATTACTGAGAATAATGTGAATAATTTTTAACACAATATTTTTTTAAGCAAAAAGCTAATTTTATTTTATTTTCCTCAAAATGTGTGTACCTCTTTGGGCATTTTGACTTACCATGAGTCAGTCAAAAGTATTGCTGATTGTCCCAAAGTGGAAAATACAATAACTGATTATAAAATAAGAAAATATTTTACTTATTTAGCATTCAATTTTTATCATTGTATTTTTTTTCCCAGCTCAATTTAAAAAAAAATCCAACATAAATGAGTTGCCTGAAAGTTTGTAAGGAATCGAAATAAATACAAATTAAAATCATAATATAAACCTGTATTATAAAACTGGAGCACCTCTAAATGACCCCCTTTTAGATACATTTAAACTTGATGAATTGAGAACAAAATGCAGAACAAAAATTCTAGTCAGACTGACTTAATTAGTTTTACTTGTTTTCATCAAAACATCTGAGCTGCTTTGATGATCTCCGATAGCTCAGTGTGAGAAACAGCACATACCGGTGTAGGTATCAGATCTGCTTTGGGCCCTGCTCCTTCTTATGACGTCAACATATGGCAACTCCACTCAAACAAACTGTATTGCACCTGTTTTTTAATCAAATCTCTTTTGGAGTTTAAACATATTATTACCTATATTTGCTATTATTTAACATTTCGTTGGCGATCTAAAGTAGCCGAAACTATAAAACAATCATTGTCAGTCTTGAAGGAAAGTACTGCCTTCTAAGACAGACTGAACTCTGCCATTTAACAAGACAAAAAAAGTCTCAGCTTTTTTTTTTTTTTTTTTCTTGAGATCTGTAGGCAGAGGAGGACAAATGGGACATCTTAAAAAAATACTTTTGTAGAGATTTTTACGAAGAAAACAGCATTTATTCTACATGTAGAAAACGATTGGTTGTTTTTGATACAAATTCAAAAGTAGTGTAGCTTAATATGGCTAACTGACCAAGCTAAAAGAGGCTAACCTGTTAGCTACTGAGCACAGCTAGCTACAGTGCTACCCAGATCTCCCCTTGTATATCATGCGCTTGCAGTTACTTTGTTCAGCATAAACAGATTTTGTCAGCTTTGTTATCGATCAGGTAAAACTTAATCAGTCATTAGACACTCTAACGGTACAGATGATCCCGACTCTGCACACTGACGCTATGTGATGTTATTATCGTTGTTTGGGCAACCACTTTGTTTTACATCATATGGCAACTTTCATCCAATCATGTAATGTATGTCACTGGCATGCACAGGACCAAAGCAGATCTGACCATCCGAGCAGATCTGGTACCTACACCGGGCTAATTTCTAAGAAAATATTTTCATGTACCACTTGCAATACCCTTGCAGACCACAAGAGGTACGCATACCCCCAGTTGGGAAACACTGCCCTAAACAATATATTTTGAAGGATACTTCATATCATTGAGAAATGTCATAATTGGATAAAAACAATTTAAATCTAAATCAAAAAGCAACATGAATAAATTGAAGCTTTACATCATGCTTCAGATGCATTGTAGGTTTGTTTAGCTTTTTAAAGTTGTGTTGGCTGGAGAAATACCCACCGTTTGGGTTTAATGTCAGTTTAATGATTTTCTTAACCTCTGGCTTTGTTGTTACTTGACAGGTTATTGTCTTTTCCTCTGGGGTACATCCATCAGGGGCTTGATACTCATGTTTGATTTCTGAATCTGGGCTAGAACCTAAATGACAAAATGATAAAGAATTAGAAACATGGTCTTAAACGTTTTCATGCTTTGTGGTAGAAAATCCTAAAAGGATGTTTTTTTTAATAATTACTTGGAGGGTCCAGGCCCTTAAATTCAACCTGGTAGTCTCCTCTAACAGAACACTCTAGTGTCAGAGAACCAGGACATTTCAATGATCCAATTATTGGTTTAACAGTGATCAGGGGTGCTGGTTTAGACTTTAGGTTTCTGCTCTGTGTGAAAGTGGCACCATCTGCACGGCTCATCTTACAGGTATATTGCCCTGAAAGACAAAACAAAGTCATAATTGCAACCATAATCTTCAAAAGCTCTGAAATTTGGTTACCACCTATTTCATGGCTATATAATAGTTGCTATTTTTTATCATATGATGCAGAAGCTAATAATATTTCCAAACAATTTATGAGTTAAAAACCAAAACAATTGGAGCAGCTATTTTATAACATATGATGTGGTATTATTGGATCCCATCACACATCAGACTGTAGTGTTGGTCTAAACAGTACATACCATCATGAATTTTATAGAATGTTGTGATTTTGTATTTCGAGGTCCCGTCATCACTGGGTTTAGTTGTTTGGAGGACTGTTCCATCAAGTGTCCAAACCACCCTTAGATTTAACCCAAAATTAGTTGGAGGAGGTCCACATGTCAGAGTTACAGAGTCCCCAGCAATTATTTCCTCTGAAGTAACTTCGCCAACTGACATATATAATGTGTTACCTGTATGACAAAAAAGGAAGGATAAAAAAATATATATATATATCTCTTATGTTGGTTTATGGATCTATGTGAAAATATAATGGAATGGTTAAACCTAGCCCAGATTTATTAAGGTTCACTTACTGAAGATGTCCACAGGATATTTTTCTGCCAGTTGATTTAACATTTCGTCTTTTGCTAATTGAAGTTGTGATGCATCCTGAGAAGAACTGCTGAGAGAAAAGTCAGCGATGGTGCTTCCAGACCTGGAACACAGATTTTTATTTTGATTGATATTCTGCTATGAAGTCAGGTCACTCTAACAGTTCATTATATTTGAACCTGATTTTTATAAAAAGGGTTTAGACAGTTCATGGCTGATGCCTAAAATAAGCTGTATACCAAATACAACAGCAAATGAATAACTATAGTTCCTTATAGTACATATGTCTACATATGTGAGATTATTAAGGCTACTTTAGACAGACAAGCTACTGTTTGTGTTTCATCCTAGAAAGATAATTAAAAATCGACTTTCTTAGTTTAAACATCCTGTTTTAACATTGTGAAAATAAAGATGTAGGAAATAATTATTGATGTGCAAGGACTAAAAAAGAAATTGAAATTTTGAAGTAATATTTTGTTAAAAAATCTATTTATTAAATTATAAAGATGCTCAGGTTAGGGCAGAGGTCTTCAGCTCTGGTTCTCAGGATCATTAGTCCTGGATGTTTTTGATGGGTTTCTCCCCTACACCTGAATCAATTATTTGCATTCCTTTCCAAAAGGTCCATTAATCACCTATTTTTTTAAGTCAGGGGGAAAGGAAAAAATTAAAATATGCAGGACAGTGGGTGCTGAGGATCAGAGTTGAAGCCTACTTAATTAAAGTTTTTTTTTTTTGAAATGCCTATATAATAACAAAATGAAAGATCAAACAGCATAGTATGTACTTTAATGTTATTAATAAAGATGGTCTTAACATTATTGTTTTTTACTGTTTTTTTACAGTTTGATGATTTATTGAGATATCAGATCTTGAACTCACACACTGCAGCGTTTAGACAAAATCCTATCTTAGACTACCTTCTGCTTTAAATGAACACAGTTATTCTCAATTTGCTACAAGGAGTGACATTGGTTCAGAATGGAGGGGTTCGCCCTGTGACAAACCCCGGCTATGCCCGTCAGTCTTTAATTGGGCAAGACACTTCACCTACATTGCCTATTTAAGACAGTCTGGGTGCCTGGTGGCAACTCAGAACAATACCCTCATTTCTGCCAGTTTACCTCATTGAAACTGTGGCTACAATGTAGCTCGCCAACATGTGTGTGAATGGGTGAGTTACTTATTGTGTAAAACACAATTTGGGTGAAATTTCTATCCCCTTTATTAGGGAAGGAGTAGAGTGATTGTTTGAAACCTTTTCTGGGGCTACAGTAATACAGATCAAACTGATATCAGTTTCGGGATAGACTTATTCTAATACTAATACAGCTGTAGTATTTACTAGCAACTACAATATCTATTTTTTAAATATTTAAACAGCATAATATGTAAGAGATAACCGCTGACTCACCTAAAGTTTAGACCCTGCACACTGCAATCTTTTGACATGTATTCCTGGCAATTTGTTTCAGCCTGGTAGAGACAATATCACAATCAAACCAAATATCAAGATATTAAATTCTGTATGCATTCCTTCATGTTGTTTTACAGACTTCAGCATATCAATATGACTTACAGAAGCATAAATATCCTTATAAACATCACTGGTTGGGTTATTGTATGAGTCCTGAAAGTCCATGTTTAGAGTAAAGCTTTCTTTTACAGTAAAGACTGCAGCTGTTGTTTTGTCTACTGTTTCAATGATTTGCGTTGAGTTTGTCACTATTGGCATATCTGGTGTTCTTAGGGTTGTTATTATTGTAAGCTCTGGCAATGTTGTTGTGTTTGTCTGTGTGGTAATTTGTATCGTGTTTTTTGCATTTGTCACCACAGTAATTTCTGATGGTGATGTTGAGTTTGTCCCTGTGGTTCTTTGAGGCATTGTTGCG